AACTGCAGAATCCATTTCCGAATTCATTAGTATATCTGAGACTACAATATTTCAAAGAAATTATTTTTTAATATTCGTTGCAAACATTCCATTAATATCAGAGGACGAGTRTATGCTATACCGCCCAATTCCGTTACCAATAATTTATGAAGGGAATAGTTTGATTTTAATTGAAACACAAATAGAAAATCTTGCGCTCAGTAAGGATAGCGAACGTTTCCTAACGTTAACAAATAACCAATGGGAAACATGTAAACCTTTAAGCCATTACACATTATGTAAAGGTGGACAATTCTTACACCATAGATCTAAATCAAATTTATGTGAATTAGCAATTCTTAAAAAACCACAGACCCTCCCTCGATCATGAAAAATTAAATTTGTAATGTMAAATATAACTATTTGGCATCACTTGATATCATCAAACTCGTGGTTATTTTATACACAAGGTGAAACTCTAGTAGTTAATTGCAATGATCTCTCCGGAACCTACGAATTAGAGATCTCTGGTGTAGGTAAATTGACCATCCTAWCTTCGTGTGAACTTCACACACATGATTCAATTTTGTTACCATCAGAACAATCAGATTTAGAACAAAACTTAGATATCATTCCTGAAAATTCAAAAGTAAATGTAAAATTTTTTGTAATGGAAATGTTAAACTCAGTTATAGTAGTTATACCACAAAACTTTACAAAATTTCAATTAATTAAAGACTTGATAGAATTTGCGAAACAGTTGAAAGAACTAGATAAGTTACAAACAATTATACCAGAACCTTCTTTTATTATTAATGTAAGCTTTCATCTAGCCATAATGTATAGTACATTGACTGTAAGCCTTACAATTACAATTATTTTAGCGTATAAGTATATATAAAAAAAAAAAATGTTAAGTTGTACAACCCGGATTTAGCCGAAATAGAAGTTAAAGGAAATCAAAATGATTAAAATAAGTTTTTATTCACGAATATTTTTTTTTCCGCCATTATTATTTTTTTTTTTTATTTATTAAAATTTTATATTATATAAGAAACATGTGGGACTATTTAGTCCCTATATATGTTTCATTTAAGTTAGGGGGTGTTAAGAACCACTGTTTTAACTAGTATACGTATATGTTAATATTAGTATAATATATTAATATGTATATGTTAATATTATTATATGTATATGTGTGAGCCGTCGTCGGGCTCAAGGAATGTGCTGATGAAGCCATCGAGACCCGACGACCGGCCTGGACGCCTCGCGCATAGAAGGCGAGTGCGGCAGTCCAGGATTGGAGACAGAGCATTACGTTTGTACAGAACATTCAGAGCCTTATTTTTCATTGATATAGTTGTACGTTTATTCTTAATAACAATTACAGAAAGTTAAAATCAGTCCTAAAGTGTTTGTGAATTTATTTGTGAGGACATCTCAGGATCGTCCATAACACGAGCATATCGACGTAAGCGAATCAAACTAACCGGCCGGGACCTACGAGCACATCAACGAGACAACGAAGCCAACCGTGCAACAACAACGGTATCAAGATAATATATCAACGGCCGACCTCGCAGCGCGGTCAAAAAAATTGGTTCTTTTCAGAACCAACCACAACACCACGTCCCACCCTGCCACCCTCGGTGCGCCTGCTTAGGCGTCACTACGAGAAAGTACCGCGCGGAACACGACTTGCTTGAGTCCGTGCACGAGCGAGCTTAACTCTCCATTTATGATTATATAATTAATTACAATAACCAATGGACCAATAACACCCAATACCTGTAATTACTTCGCACCTCTACAGGTCCGAACCCGCCCGTCGCGACCCGCTTCCACTAGCCAGCCGCGCGGCCCGGKATAATTTATCCCGTATGTATATAACATAATTAATTGTACTATATATAAATTTACAATAAAAGGCATTATTTGTATGCAAATCGTGTACATTCATTTACGGTTACGATACGTCGAGTAACGACGGTCCGTAACAGACTGAAAACTATGTAACAGAAATAGATATTTTCAAAAATGTAAGTTCTTTCTGAAATAATGAATGCCTTTCGTTTAAAATCATCACTAGTATACCTACATAGTACATACGATACAGTGTAGGTACCCTCCCCCCCAACAGCGCCGTATATCACAGGTAACGAATAATCGATGGTCAAATGCATCTAGTCACCCATACAGTGCCCGATAAGGTAAACCCGTGACATGATTACATAAAATATCAAAATGTACTGTCATAAATTGTTGGAGTATATTTATTATTTTCATCTTCAATGTTTGTCATCAACCATGTCGCGCGTGCGCGTTACATCACGCTTCACGCAAACGTAATGTTATACACACGCACACAAACGTTGTAGTTACCTCCGTAGACCGCAGTACGTCCATTCCATATTATTATTATTATTATTATTAATCACTTATCTACCAGGCCGTAGTTGTGAGTTGTGAGTGTGCCGTCGAGAAGTTTTTTTTACTTACGTTTACTCCTACTTCTGAAGTTCTGAACAGTGAATAATACTATAACTATTATTGCGACTACAACTACTACTTGTTATTACTTCTACAGTTCCACTACCTACTACTACATCTTGATCTACAAATGCGACTACGACTACTACCACTAAAATATAATAGATAAAATATAAAATTATTTATTTTTTCACCACCGTGCACGCGTGTCGCGGACGAATAAAAATATAAAATTGAACGAGATTCATAATAATTTAACTAACGATTGTGTTTTTTGTTTCATTTTTTGCCGGCGATCGGGGTAATCGTCATTGTCGCTAAATGTCGCATATTGTTTTATCAAAAGTCACAATATCACCGCACCGTCGTCTGGCCTCTCAGTCCTCAGAATCCTATTGCCATACGAAACACTAACGTATTTATACTACGGAACAATAGTGAAATTGTTGTACCTACCTAAGTCGTACTATCCATCTGTCTTACCGATCGTGAATACTATGCTGATACAAACGTCCACGAAAGCCACAGTTTACAACGGTAGCATCGTTCACTGTCGGCAACGGAAACGAGCGTTATTCGCGTCGTCGTAAAGTCGTCTTACCGCCGTGTACAGTACGATATTCATCTACTAGCCTGCTTATAATCTGCCGCCATTATATATATGCGTATCTACCGGCCGTGGACAGCAGCGATATAATYTATCAAATGGTTTTTCGATACCATGGTACGCAGCCGTGGTGGTGCTGTCGTCGCAGTTGCCGAGTCTACAACACATTGCAATCTGCCGCAATCGTTCGCCACAGCAGTGCCATTGGCACCAACAGCACCAGTATCGAATCGCTGCCGTCGTCTCTATAATAGTTGTGGTGGCAATAACCATGACACGAGATTCGGCGGCGGTCGCCGCTCTAGACGACCGCCGCCGCCGCTGCCCTATATCGGCGGCATCCAACGTAGTGGACGATGCCTCAACATTGATGACAAACAGTATTGCTATGAGCGGATCAATTAGCAATGATGACGTTGGTGGTGGAGATGAAGGTGGTAGCCTCAAATCCTCATCTGAAGTGTCAACAACAACTAGCTGCTTTGGTGGTAGCAGTAGTAGCAGTAGAAGTGGTAGCGATGATGACGATTCTGCTACTGTTACCCGGTTGGCTACAGCAATTGATGATAGTTGTTCTACAACCATCAAGACTCCAACACCACTGTCATTGCACAAACAAAAGGAAGACGATAATAATGGTGATAAAGATTCTTCTAGCAGTAGTCATGGYGATGAAGCAGCCATGATAACCRCTCCAACAAATATTGGAGGACGTCTAACGTTTTATAAAGGTAAGTTAATTATTCAAAAATAATGTAGGTATTGTTTTATTAGATAATATACCAATACTTACTGTCTGTGTCATTCTTATTTGATAAAATTGATAAGTGTATATTGCTATATTTTATAATATAATGGATATTCAGTTAATTTATACCATACTTATATTTAA